CAGCCTGGCTTTCCCGAGGCAGGGAGCCCTGGCAGCTCCAGCGCTGGAGAGTGCGGGGTGTGTTCGCCGCCGCCTGGCCCCCAGCACGTGCTCTAGGTGCTAAGCGTGCGGGGACCGGAGGAGAAAGCACGTCCCAGAGCAGAAGCAACTTCGCCTACCAAAAACCTGCCTGCAGCAAGAGCCATGACTGCCTTTTAAACGAGGCTGCAGGGAGCCTCAGCCCAGTGAGCAGCCACAGCACCACGCCTCTTCTTTCAAAATAATGGGCTTATTTCAAATTAACACTCCTGCTTGTATTTCAAAGAGTTATTTGGGGAGGTACTGAGGGGTTAGTATAGACTAGTAATGGCAGTGCGGACCAGTGCTCCCTTTAAGATTTTTCCAACTGTGAGAAGAATGAGTTTTGGCTTGTGCATCAATATTGAGGTTTGGCTGGGCACCACCATGACTATGCTGACCATATGGCCCAGAAAATCTGGAAGAGTCCCAAATTTTAATTGCCTGTCCAGGTGCCCCATAAAACACTGAAAACATCCCAGAAATGGCAGCATAGCTACAGGTGGCTGTACTTTTCTGTTTCTTCTCCTGGGGAAAACAGGTGTGCAGGGACTTTTGCACAGATTTTTCCTGCTGCGCTGGAACCTAGCCAAAGCAGCAGGAGGCAGCACCTGACTTCTGGTGCTCTGGCAGGAAGGTAGTTCTTACCTGCTGCTGCTTTACCAGCATGACTCCTAGGTGGCCCCCTTTGCTGCCTTTTAAACTTTGAAGTAGGAATAAGAGATCCTCCGGAAAAAGGCTTTATTCCGGAGGATCGCACCAGTCTAGATGCTTTTTTCTGGCTTTTCTCCACGCCGGAAAAAAGCAGTGGACATCTTTATTTAAATCCCCCGCAGATTTCATTCTGAAGTTGAAAATTAGCATGCCCCTTTCGGAAAAGGGGCCAGTGTAGACGTAGCCATAATGAACTAAGTTATACTGTTTTAAATGCCACTAATGATAGATCTCTATTTTAGAAAACTTAACAGCCAATAGTCTGCAGGACCTCAGACTACATCTACACAACAGAGCTATTTCAGGCTACTTCTGGTATTGTCAAAATACCACTATTTCAAAATTAAATTCAAAATGATCTTATTTGGAGGCATAAATTGTGTAGCTTAAATCAAGGTAAGGGTATATTTTTATGCATCCTTAGACTAACAAAAATGTAGATGATTCATCTGAAGGAGTGGTTGTGCCCACAAGAGTTCATGATACCATCTACATTTTTATTAGTCTCTGGGGCTCTGTCTACACTCACGTCTTCTTGGGCAAGTATGACTGTTCTTGCGCAAGAATCTGCAGAGCCTTTACGCTGCCCGCACGCTCTTGCGCAAGGAAATTTAAAGTATGGTGTGGTAAGAGGGCTTCTTGCGCAAGAGCTATGCTCCTTAACAGGTGTAAGCCCCCTTGCGCAGGAGCTCTTGTGCAAGAGGGCAGTGTGGACACTCAGCAGGGATTTCTTGCACAAGAAAGCCCTATGGCTAAAATGGCCATCGGAGCTTTCTTGTGCAAGAGAGCATCCACACTGCCATGGGAGCTCTTGTAAAAAAGCATAGCATGCACATGGCAGTGTGGACATTTTCTTGCACAAGAACCCTTGCGCAAGATGTTCTTGCGCAAGAAGCCGCGAGTGTAGACATAGCCTAAAGGTGCCACAGGACTATTTGCTGTTTAAGTTTCTTGAAACTTTATTTTGGAAAAGTCACTAAAGGTGAAAAAAGCAATCCCATCAGATACTGCAAATTCACAGGGCCTTGTGTAAATTCAAAACTTGTGTCACAGGAATCAATACCTTTTATTGAACCTTACCCACCTTGTGTGTGTCAAACCAAAAACGGCTTAAATTCTCACAGGCAAGAAATTGCATTTTAACATTAGGTTAAACTTTTTTTAAAAATCAGTTACTTTAACCTATTATTCCAAAACTTGGAGGAAGCATGTTTATGCCCTTCAATGCAGAATTTAAAAAAGGGGAATTTCGTTTAATTATAATTCCATTTACTTCAAAATGACAAACGAAGCATTTCAGGGATGATGATTGCAAATAAGTGATGGATACTTATTTACCAACTTTGAATCTATCACCATCACAACTCAAGCAATGCTGTTCTCCTTTTAATTCTGGTTCTCCTAATTCAGTTCCTTATGTAATCTTGCCTATCAAACTGTAAACTCTTCCTGGGAAGGACTTAACTTTACTGATAGTTTAACAAGCTAGTCTAACTGGAAAAATGTAACAATAAATAGTCTAGCAGCACTAAAGACTAACAAACATGTAGGTGATATCATGAGCTTTTGTTGTACCCACAAAAGCTCATGCCACCATTTACATGTTTTGTTAGTCTTTAAGGTGCTGCTAGATTTTAAGTTTTGATAGTTTACACATTTAAGAAATTGTGGCCTCTTTTTGAAAAATACTTTTTGCATTGGTTGAAATACTAACTTGATGAGTAACATTGCTTGTTGCCTGTGTTAGCTCCACCATGGGAGGGAGGGGGAAGAGGAGATGGAGAAGGGTGATGGAAAGAATCAAATGGAGCATAATCTGTAGGTTGGTTTCTCTTCAGAGTACACAATGTATCCAGGATTTCAGTCACAACTGTAACTTAAAATTTACTTCAAATTTTGAATCCAATTATACTGATCTTTCAAAAATATAGCATCCACTACGCTAGCCACATGTGGCCATTTGGCTGGTTGAGTGTGGCTTGTTTGTAAAAGCAATAGAACTGGTTGCACACCACAGATATAGAGCAAGTTCTCAAAAATAAGACATCCCTTACCCACACACTATCAGAAGCAAAAGGAAATCAAAACTATCTGGAGGAGACAAGACAACTATAGCCTGAACAAAGTTACAAAAATAGCCAGCCTTTGCACAAGAGCTGTTATGTTTGATGATAGCTTGGTCTGGCTATCATTTGTACAGCTGACTCAAGAATAACTAAGGCCATATTTTATGATCAGATAAATTAAAGGTATCTGTTCTTCTAACAGCTAGTACCAGCAAAAGACACACTGAAATCAAATTTGAATTCACGCAAGGTTGACTCCAGCAACTGAGAAGCCACATCCCATTAGAGACAAATAACAGTTTATGATAAGTTGTTAACTATTCTGAAGCAAAGCATAGTATCTAATACCATCAATATGAGCAATGTAAAGCAAGGATGCAGCCAGTGATCTTCTGTGTTTTAGATAATTGTTTGAAATTCCCCTATTATACTGACCTTACACACCTATGGCTACTTAACATTTGCTGAATCTTCATATATCAATGGGATTCCATCCTCAAACAAGCTTTTTGAAAAACAGGATGTATAGTTAATTGGTGGAACTAGAGGATGGAAAGGGAAGAGGTGTATGATACCACAGGTTTCCCGTACTTTCACTGAAGGATGAGTGGGATTATAGGAGTGTTAGTGGTGTAACTAGAGCTAGCACTGAAGTAATTCAAGCTAAACTGATGAAGGCTGATGAGTCCTAACATTAGCTCAGAGATCATTTGGAGCAGTACTTGTAATGTTTCAGAGTAGGCCGTATAGCACTTTTTCTTAAAATGTTTCCAGTACTTGAAATGGGTGCTGCAAATACTATGAATTACGAGTTCTGGGAGCTTCTTGTGAACAGGCACTGTACAGGAAATATTGCAAAACTGGTATTATCATTTAACAGCAGGTTAATTAGCCACAACCATTTACCTTAAGATATTAAGATGTATACCATTTCTGATACCCCATAAAATTGATTTAATTGAGCTATAGTAGAAGCACAATGTTCTAATTAATTTATTATAGGAACACAAATTCTTTCATTTGTCTGGAAAGAGCAAATGAGCAGATTGTACACACTGCAACTTCTTGTTCCTTCAAATACATCCCTGTGGCAAATAAATTGATTAGTGACAGACCTCAATTCTATCACCAACCTAAATTGTAACAGTTACCTTGGCCACAGTTGACAATTTAAAAAAAATAACCCAGTACAATCCAGTGAATTTATTTCTTGTAATGTGTGGATGTTTCAACTTTTGATTTAAAACATACAAAATTAATGTTTTCAGGTTTCTATGACAATTATGAATACTAGAAGCCAAGTCACAGAGCAGCTCATTAAAAAAACCAAATTTATCTTACTGGAAGATAATAAAACCAAGCATTTCAAATGCAGGCCTTATAGAAGCAAGTACAGCTGAAGCCCTTTCATCTGGCACACTGGGGGAACAGGGATGCTGGTAAATTGAAAATGCCGGTGAACTAAGAGGGAGGCATTTGGAGTGCTGAGCAGAGGCATGGAAGGGGCTGCAGGGCATGAGCTCCAGGAGTTTGGGTTCAGAAAGGGGGTTGGGGCAAGGGAGAGGTTCAGGATGCCAGATGGGGCATGGTCACCTCTGGTGGCTCCCGTAAGCAGCTTCCCATCCCTGCCAGAGGCATGGCCAGGTAGCTCTACTGTCTCCATCAGCAGGTAACAATCCCTGCATTTTCTGGCCGCTACTGTGTCTGCACGCCAGGAGGGTGGAGACAGGTGGCATGTCAGCAAAGCCAGTTGGCTATGCCTCTGCCAGCCACAGCAGCAACAGAGAACCATATGCAGAGGGCCATCAGAAATGTAGCCTCCCACCTCCAGTCCAGCACTCCCAATCCCTCCCATGCCCCAAAGCCCCTCCTGAACCCAAACTCCACCCACAGACCTGCCAGCCATACACCAACTGCATGATAAATTGGACTTTCTGTGCAGGTCAGAAATGGTTGTTTAATGAGCTTGCTGGTTGGTGAAATTCAGACAAAAAGGGCTTTTATTGCTTCTCTCTCAATGATTGGCAACTAATCAGAATCCCATCTGTGCAAGCAGCCAGGAATATAAATCTTCATTCTCTCTACAAGCATCTAGTTTAACTAGAAAGTTGTATACAATATTTAGATGGCTGGGGGCAATTTACCATGAATGTATATATTGGCATATCTAATAGCAGGTTCTGATAGTATGCATCTATCATTCAGACAACTGCTAATCTGCATATCAGATATATGATTTTGTTTCTCCATATTAATACTCTTCCTTATGGAACATGGACACCAGTTGAAGAACCTTAGAGCTAAGTTCCTAGGAAATACTACTACAGGTATACAGCTCACCTTCCACCAGAGCTCCATATACCTTTTATAGCAACTGAACAAGTGCAAACATGAAATTAGTGGAATTCACACAGACTGAAACATGTCAGTATTTTGTCTTAACGAGAAAGAACTAGATTCAAATTGTATTTTATTTAGCTAATTCTTCTCTGTGCTCTGGAAAAAAAAACAGCTGAAGACCTTACTCATCTCCAAGTAGTCTTTGAAATATTAATGGACACTTACAGCACAGTTGCTGAAAGTCAAGTTTCATATTCTGTCATCTTCTTTAAAACAAGACTGCATCAACATAACTAAAAAAACCAGGATCAGCTGATGGCGGTCAGTAAATCTATTAATTACTACTAGGGACATCTAAATACACTCTTTATGGCAAGAGATAAAATATACGTGACTGAGTAATTAGCTACCTAAGTATTTTGATTCAATACACTGACCAATCCTCTCCAAAGATTGCTGTGATAAAATGGTAGTGTTCATTTGCTCCAATTTATATTCCGAACATATGAAGTTGACCATTTAAAGCTTTATTGTAGTTTGTAATATAAACAAGTGCTGACATTCAGTCAATGTCCATTTCTGGAAGTTTTTTTTCTGTAGCTGTTGGAGCAGTGGTATTAGTGCTCTCTTCAGCAGGCTGGGCCCCTACGTTGGCATCTCCCTGGCCTTCTACTGGTCCATTCTGTTCAGCTGGATTTTGCTCCTCTTTAGGGACTTCTACCTTGGGTTTTGGTTTTGTGACTATAGGATTGCAGGTATCTGTCAATTCCTAAAACAACAATTGAGAGATTTTAAGTTACAGTACATATTACAGCTTTTGCCTACAACAGTCATTGCCTAAAGTAGCTTACAATGACAAGTCACATCTGAAGAACTACATAGAGTACTATTTTCAACAAAACCTCCTGAACTATTTCCATCCCTCCCTTCTACTCAGAGCTTCTCTAAGCATAAAAATTGGTAACTAGGATACCACTATGCAAAATGAAATTAGTTTTTTTTTCAAATTCAAACAAAATCTTACTTTAGTTTTAGCGTGTATATCCTTAGTCTTTATAAGAGGATCCAAAGCAAGACTTCTCTTATTCTGAAGATTAAGTTTATTGTTCATCCATTCCATAGCTTCACTTACACTCTTCTCCACTTTTATCATGTCTGCTGCATCTAAATGGTCATACTGATCGTCCTAATGTATGGGAAAAGTACACAACACATTACATTTACTTTGCAGTGACACTACTTTAAAAAAACAAAACAAAAAAACACACATCAGGAGACCATGTTATTTGTCGGACACTCCTACTACACTGAAAAAAGGTGGAAAGAAATTTCAAGGTAGCTTTTTAACACTTCCTTATGATAATCAGCAAAATATTTGATAAACTGAAGATACCTTTGTTTTGAATGCATGAATAATTTTCATATACTGTTGTATTTGCTTCCCCAGATCCTCAAATGCTTTTGGTCTTTCCTCCGATTCTTGAAACCGTGCCTGAATAGGCTGACCCAGAGTCTGAAATGAAGGACAGAACAGGTTATGACATTTATTGGACCTACAGTGATTTTTTTTAAAAATACATTGCAGTAGCTTTCAAAGGCAGGAAAATGAGCCCTCCCCCCCTTCCATGTTAGGAAGCCTGCCATGTGCTGAACTGAAGGTGTATTCATATTAGTTCTTCTATAATATGAAGTTTCCTTCCCTTTCCTGCATTATTTGATGGGAAGTGAAAGTTAACTATTGACACTAGATTATCACTTGCATTTTATTTCATACAAACTGAAGTGTAAAGGTAGTTCATGTCTCTGAACTATTATTTCATCCTCTCTGCTAACTCAGGACTTGTGTACATGAAGCAGCAATGCACGCTAAAAGGGGTGCAACTGCCACAGCATACTAGCCAGTTGCACAGTATTTTATTTGCTTAGACTCTGCCACTGTATACCAAAGGTTCCCTAATTTGCTTTCACTCCCAGCTCATGAGGCATATCCCACATTGTCAAATACTGGTATTATGTGTATTTCATCACTCGTCAAGAGAAAGTACAGGGCTCCACTTATTCACATTAAAATCTACTACATATTTGAGAGTTAGTCTGTCTTCAAGAATTCCTCTTAAGTAGGATCACCAAATTCAGCATAAAGCTTCCTCTTATAACTTAGAGCAAAGTAAGGGGTTAGTTGTACCAGGAAAACGATGTGCCTGGAATGGAACTGATTCTCAAAGCCATACAGAAGAGAATCACTAGGCAGGTGAAAAGGGCTGCCTAGCAGCATGCTCCCTCTCCAATCTGGGACTGCTCAAGCCCTGAGCCTCCTACCTCCCTAACTGCCCTTTAGGGAGGACTTGGCAGGGAGGGCTAAAAGGCTCCCCCCCAATTCATATGGGGACATCGCTGGCAGTTTCCCTTTGTCAGGGTGCAAGGGGAAAGTGCACAGTTTGCTGCATTCCTCATTCTGGCTGGGGAGCACAAATGTGCCTCTTGGCTCTTGCTCCCTGTATTTTTTTTAAAAAATACCATCTTTTAAATAAAGCATGTATGTTTTCTTTTTATTAAAAACCCCCTTAATTGATTTAAGGACCTGAGCAATGCCGGGTAAATGTGCTAGTATTTTATAAGTCAATAAATAAAATCCAAAAGGGAAGCTTTACTAAAACTAGTTACAACTTTTTATACAGAATATAGCTATCTTTTTACTTAAAATAAATAATCCAAGAGATTCAGACTAACATCAGGATTAAATCATATGACAAGGTAATTTTCTTCTCACCTCCAAAACTAGCCTTCCAGAACTTTAAAACTCATTTTTATAAAAAGACATTTTCCTGTTATAGGCGACCCGTGTTACCTTTTAAGAGCAAGTAGCAATTCCTGCATCTAAGCTTTCCTTCCTTTTCCAAAGAGATTCAGGAGAAAGACAGATGTCCACTCACAGTCTTACATATAACTATCATTGCCTTTCATATAAGCCTCAATTAAAAAGTTGCTTCTGCCTATCCTTTTAAATTATTTTCTTCATGTTTGCAAGCAACATCACTTCCCAACTCATTAAGTAATTTAGGTTCATTAGATCGTGATTTATAGCTTAAGTGGAATCAATTCAATAAATGCAAATTTGAGCATGACAGTTACAGTGCTGAAGTGCTACGTACCTTAAGTTCTGTTAGTTTATCAATGTAAACTTGTTTGGGTTGGTCTTCACCATCTTCATACAGCCAATTTTCAGTGTCTTCTAGTTTCAAAGTGAAACTATTTCTATCCTGAGACCAGAAAACCAATATAAATTGAATACTGAATTCAGAGATCATCTCCCATAAAACAAAAGAAATAAACACCTGGTGTCAGTTGGATTCTCTTTCCTGAAAGATGTAGAATATTTTTTTCTGTTACAACTTAAAAAAGATGTAGAATACAGTAGAATATTGTTACTGAAGCCTGGTCCACACTAGAAAGGGTTTGCCAGCACAGCAAACAGTTTTTCCAGTTTAATTGGATCTACGCTATCATTTTGTGGGGTATAGAAATGTATAAACCACACCGCTAATGTTATTTTACCAGCAACGGTTTCTAGTGTATATCTAGCCTTATTATAAAATAGAGATTATATAGAGGCAAGGAGTGTCAAATTATGACAAGGGCTGAATTCTATTCTAATTTGTGGGCTAGAAATTAAATGTAAGGATTATTCCCTTGAATTGGCTGTGATCAAAATAGCTAACTGAATCCGAGAGCATATAAACCAGTGGTCCCCAACACGGTGCCTGCAGGCGGGCATTTGTGTGCGCCCAAGTGCTCAGGGCTGGCCTGGCCCCGGGCACGTGGCGCATGCATGGTGCCGGAGCCAGCCCCAGGCACGCGGCGCTTGGGGTGCTTGGGGGGGCCCCGCCCCTGGACTGTGGCTATGGAGGGGGGGCCGCCCCTGGGCACGCAAGTGTCCCCGCCCTCTGGCGCCTGGCAGGCGAACGGCCACGCCCCCTGGCGCCCAGCAACCTCCAATGGTTGGGAACCACTGAATAAACAAAGGAATTTTGAGTAGGAGAAGAGAGGTTATTTAAGCTCTCTATTTAGCAGTGGTGCAACTGCTGTTGGAACACTGTTCCCAGTTCTAGTGTCCACAGTTTAAGGACAACATGAATAAATGGGAGAGGGTTTAGAAAAAAAGCCAAGAATTATAAAAGAATAAAACCCCCATGGTTCATCAAACTGCTCAACCAATTCTGATGAACAAAGAAAATATTAAGAGATGAACAACAGATAAGGATCTTCGCTACCAGTCTATTTTAATTTTTCCCAGGGAAAATATAACCACTTATTACGACAACAAAAAATTGATGACAATTGTACAAACATTCATTTTTCTGAATATATCTTGGGGTTTATTTTGATGGACAGAAGTCTGATAGGGAAAATATTCAGTAAATTAATGCAGTGATGAACAGAATTCAATATGGTTTACTACAGAATTAAGTATCAGAGGGGTAGCCGTGTTAGTCTGAATCTGCAAAAGCGACGAGGAGTCCTGTGGCACCTTATAGACTAACTGAAGTGTAGGAGCATAAGCTTTCGTGGGCAAAGACCCACTTCGTCAGATGCATGTAGTGGAAATTTCCAGAGGCAGGAATAAATATGCAGGCCAGGATCAGGCTGGAGATGACCAGGTGGAAATTTCTACTACATGCATCTGACGAAGTGGGTCTTTGCCCACGAAAGCTTATGCTCCTACACTTCAGTTAGTCTATAAGGTGCCACAGGACTCCTCGTCGCTTTTACAGAATTAAGACTCCAAACAAATGCCACCTCTAAATTTTAGAAAATACATCACTAATTCCCAAATTTAACTTCTCACTTAAAAGTGGTTACAGATGCAGAGTTAGAACTATTAGCCTATAAATGCCTACATTTTTTTAACTGGGCCACACCATTTTCACCACATACTCTTAACTTCATCATCCTGGTTTTTAAAAAGTTTTGAAACTCATTCTGATAGAGATTCTCTCCTCCTCCCCCCAGCTTTTAGTGTCAAATCTTTAAACCATAAACTGCTATAACTTGAAATGTGTATGTGGTGGCCGTCAGATTTATCAGTATGTTTAGATGTGCATGCACTTCAGACCTTGCATGTGTGCCTGTTTCTTCGCTTTGTGTATTCTCTAGCCCAACACATAATCTAACTTCACCAGACAGCTTTGTGTATTCACAGACTACAGGTTGGACCTTCCTGGTCCAGCACCCATGGGACCTGACCTGTCCCAGATGAGGGATTTAGCCAGACCAGGGGAGGTCATTTCTGGCCCCAACAGACATCTTTCCCTGTCAGCCCTGCTGGGCAGCCCAGCTCCAGCATGCTGGGTTCCCAGCCCCACTGGCCAGCTCACTTCTGGCAACCTGCAATAATCTATTATAATACACAATATACAAGTTTTTTAAAATATAGATTGACATCTCTAAACATGATTCTCTGATCCAGCAAGACCATGATGTTCCAGGACCACAGAGTCCAGATGGAAGACTGGTGGTTGGGAGCCCTGCTGGCAGGCTGCTGATGGCAGGGCTGGGAGACAGGTGGCATAACTGTCTGGCAGGACTGACAGCTCAGCAGTGGGGAAGAGCCAGCTGGAAACCCACCTGCTGGACTATTCCTGGGGGCAATGGTAGGGGGACCAAAAATTACTTCCCCTGGTGTAGCAAAATCCCTCATCCAGGACTGGTCAGGTCCCCAGGGTGCCAGACCAGAGAAGTCTAATCTGTATTTGGAAGATGCAAAAAGTAGGGTGAACATTCAGAAAAAATATATTTTGATAGAACCTGGGACTGTCTCAATAAAGACTGGTTTAAACCAGGGGTTGGGAAAAGGCTGCCAGTGGGCCATATCCAGCCCACCAAGCCACCAGATCCAGCTTGTGGCCACCTCGCTAGAACCCTTAGAAAGCAGCTCACACTTTTTAAAAAGCCAGTTGCTCTCCACTCTGGACAGCTGAGGAAGAAGGAGGAGGGAGTCTTCCCACACTGCTCCTGCCCCAGCAAAATCTCTCATCTCCCACTGGCCAGTTACCCACTGGATAGGAGCAGTGTTGGAAGCTGTCTCCCTCCCCCTCCATGCCCAGAGCATAGCCATGTAGAACAGCCTCTGGCACCCCACTCCCTCTGACAACTGGCCCCAGGCTACCACCCAAACCTTCTGTACCTCTTGCCCCCTTCCCTGACCTTATACCCCCTTCTAGAGCCTCTACCCCAGTCCAGAATTCTCTCCTGCACCCTTACCCCTTCCTGGACTGTGTACCCTAAAGCCCCTGGCCCAGATCACAGCCCCTTCCTTCACCTAAACTCCCTCTCAGACCCCTCATCCCCTCCTGCACCCCAGGTCTCCTACCCCAAGCTCCCTTCTGAATCTAACCTCCATCCCAGACCCCACACCACCTCCACAGAAGGGGACCACTTGCCAAAATCTTGGAGTGACACCCCTCCCCCATTACAAATTGGCCACTCCTGGTTTAAACTGAAAACAAAGGGACTTCGTGTATAAATACTGACAGAGAATAAATATTTAATAATGGGCTCTTCAATCGAGAAAAAGATGCAAGATGATCCAGTGGCTGGAAGTTGAAGCTAGACCAGGGGTGGGCAAAAGGGCCTCCGTGGGCCAGATCTGGCCTGCCAAGTGGGTTGATCCGCCCATGGAGGCCCTGCCACTCCCCCGCCCCTGGGCCAATTAGAAAGCTTCCTCCCCCCTGTGAGCAGCATGCAGTGCTTTGAAGTGCCGCACACTGCTCACAGGGTCAGAGGAGACATCACACATTCCTCCACCACCAAGCCCTCATTGGCCTGAGGGCAGGAGCAGCATGCAAAGTTTCTTCCTCCCCACCCTGCGAAGAGTACATGGCACTTCAAAGTGCTGTATGCTCGCATAGGGTGGAAACAGAGCAAGGGAAGCTTCGCACAGCTCCCCCACCCTCAGGCCAATCAGGGATTAGGAGCAGGACAGCATGTGACATCTCCCGTCCTGCGAGCAGCACATGGCACTTTGAAGTGCTGCGTGCTCCTCGCAGGGCAGAGGTAGGGCTGGAGGAGGCTTCGCATGCTCTCTCTGCCCCCAGGCCAATCAAGGCCTGGGGGTGGGGGAGCTGCGTGAAGCTTCCTTCGCCCTGTCCTAGCCCTGCGAGGAGTGTGCAACACGTCAAAGTGCCACACGCTCCTCACAATCAAGGCTGGGGGCAGGGGAATGTGAAGCCTCTTCTCGCCCTACCAGGGGCATGGGTGCCTACTGGGAAGGGAGGCAATGGGGCTCCCCCATCCCCAGACCACTTATGGTCTGGAGGTGTGGAAGCCCAGAAGCATTCTGGCACCGCCCCTTCTGGCCCATGGTCACTTCAGTAATTTTTTGAAGTGGCCCCCAGCCAAAAATTATTGCCCACCTCTGAGCTAGACAAATTGAGACTGAAAATAAGGTGTAAGTTTTTACCTGTTACAACAGTTTACTAAAAGTCATAGTGGAGTCTCAATCAGTTTTTTTTTTAAAAAAAGATGCTCTAGGAATTATTTGGGGAAAATTCTAAGATTAGTAAAATTTTAAATAATTACTAGTCCTTTCTCGCCTTGGAATCTTTGAATTCACAGCTCAAAGGGGGAGATTTGCATTGAGAACAAGGGTAAAATACAATGGTCCTGAAATGAGAATATTTTATCCACAAATTAAGCTGACTATGACAAAGTACTCCCCATTCTCACTCTTTTGGACTTTGCAAATATTAACTTTTTAATTACTGATTGTTCCCAGGTGAAATGGAAAAGGGAGTTGAAGCATTCAAGTCTTTGAGTTCTAGAATTAACCCTTCCTTAAGATTAGTGTAGAGCAGGGGAATAGACCGTTATTATCTCCAGTAATTTGCAAAATGTATTATCAGTTTACATTTGTCTCAAGTTTAGAATAACTTTCCAGTCCTCATGGTTATGAGGACACTTCTCTTTAAAAATGAAAGCTTCATTCTGAATATACCATGCAGACCACAAACATATTCTGGGTATATGACACCCCTGTTTTAAAGACTGCTACTGAAATTGATCTGAAATATTAGACTACAAAGAACAAAAATAGTAGTCAAATTGGTAATACTTACATCTTCATTAACAAATTTTTCATATAAGCCACAGAGCTTGTCTCTCATATCATACACATATTCCTCTACTGCATTCTTGGCATCATTACGCTCTTTCTCCAGTTTATCCTGCATTATCATTTTACCCTGCAGAAAAGAAGTTAGTTCAATCTTACTCAAGAATTAGAGGTCAATTAAAATTATTTGAAAATAGCACTAGAGAAACAACATACTTAGTAGCAGATATGAGCAAAAGAAGAGATGCACTGGAGATCAGGACAGAGGCAATTCTAATTGAGTATTTTTATGGGGAAGTGAATTTAAGCTTATCTGCTCATTCTATAATCATCACTGAGAAGCAGACATGGCAGATACTCCAAAGGCCGGCATCAAAGCTTACATTTTATTTGATGAATAATTTTATTCTCCTGCCTGTTGATTCCTTGAAATGAAACCTGCTTTCCATAAGGATTTCTGTATTTTTAGTTAGGGATGCCTTTGTAAAGGCAACCCCATCTTTAGGAACTAAATCCAATTCTGAAGCTGATAATTAGATTTCTTTGCCTTTAGTTGGGCACTTGGTATCTCCAAAGAAGAGATACAGAGAACAATGCCCTTTTGGTTTGGAAACAGTACTTTTTGATGATCAGGGTGCTATCATCCCACACTGTTTCCATCGCTGAGGGAGGATGAGTCCCAAGTAGGGCCTATATCTTCAAAGGAAGAAAGGAAAGATTCAGGTAGCTGGGCCTAATTTCAGCCTCAGAAATTCTCCAACCCTTTGCAAGGTCAACACTTCCTAAATAGAAAAAAAACAACACAGCAGAGTAACACGTGTACGTCTGCCAGCCCAGTGTCCAATGCAATAGGTACCTTAGATTTCAGTAGCAACGGAAATCTCTTCAATCATGAGAGAAATAGCTCTGGCACATAGAACATCTTTCTGCCAACAAATTGCTCACCACTCAGAACGACTCATTCAAGCACTCACAAGCAAGATCACAGGCAAACCAGGTAGAAGAATAAAGAGCCAGATACATCAGAATAGTGATAGAAATGCAGCCGTATGAGTCTGGTCTAGCTGAAACAAAAGACAGGACTATGCAGCACTTTAAAGACTAACAAGATGGTTTATTAGGTGATGAGCTTTTGTGGGCCAGACCCACTTCCTCAGATCAATACATGGAAGAAAATTGGCACAACCATATATACACCAAAGTGATACAATCAAAAAAAGTGAACACAAAAATGACGAATCAAGTTTAAGAACAGAGGAGGGGCGAGGGGGGAAGATTAGTGTCTGTGAGGTAATGACATTAGGGGTGATAATTGGGGAAGCTATCTTTGTAACGGGTGAGATAATTAGCATCTTAAGACCTGTATGCAAAGTGTCAAATTTAAGCATGAATGACAGTTCTGAGGCTTCTCTGACACTTTGCGTACAGGTCTTACTCTGTTCTTAAACCTGATTCGTCATTTTTATGTGTATTCACTTTTTTTGATTGTATCACTTTGGTATATATAGTCGTGCCAATTTTCTTCCACATATTGATCTGAGGAAGTGGGTCTGGCCCACGAAAGCTCATCACGTAATAAACCATCTTGTTAGTCTTTAAAGTGCTGCATAGTCCCGTCTCTTGTTTCAGCTACATCAGAAACATTACGAAATGGACTAGTAGTTCAAGAAGTTTTATAACTCTGAAAAACGGAATGTGGTAGTAAACAAACTCCTTATAGATGATTGCACTAGCAGAAGGGATACTGACAGGTGAGGCATATTATTTGTATTACAAAAAAGAGTAGGATCACCAAGCAGAATTGGTGAGTGCTGACAATCCCTAGCTTAAAATTTATGTAGCATACCCATCCAACTCAAAACTTGACATCTATCTTTCCAATTTTAAGAGTGGTCATAACATAGCAAAGAAATGCAAGACCAATACAATCCGAACTGCCCAAGTAGCTGGAGGACAAGTGTTTTAGCTGTGGCTGTCCAAACAGGTAGCAGACATTCAAGGCACTAGATGGATCAACTGACTAGAATAGGTGACAAGCACTTCAGAATAACCATTAAGTCTATAAAGCAATCCAGTACTAGTAAAATAAAAATCAGTAAGAGTTAGAAAAATTTAGCTGCCGTAAAAAGTATAAACAAGATTTTTTGTTACAATGAATTCTTTGCACTATCGAGTTACCTCATAACTGCAGGGTTTTTACCATTTAAGGTGGTCTCAGAAGTCCTTCAAAGCCTTGTGGCTTGAGGTGAGCAGCTTCCATTAACTGGCACATTAACATCTCCCCAAATGCCACATGACCCCAGAATTGAGATATCTGCCTTTGATTAACATTCTTTTGGAGCTTGCATTATTTTATTAATTTGCCCCACTCCTGCTAACATTATTTTAGAAACAAGCATGAGTAGTACAGTAATAAATACCAAAGTTATGGGTTCTGAAACTTCAATTACCAAGCAATTTTCCAAAAAGTAATTACAAATTATCTGCAATTGTAGAACATTCCTGCAGAAAGTTACAGCAGTTGCTCATCAGGAAAAAGGGGTCATTTTTAGCTGTCTTCACTGCAGTAGTTTTGCCCTTGGAGAAAATTAGCTAAACAGTCTCCTTTTGCTGTTCTTAATAGTTCACCCTTTCTCCAGCTGGAGATAAGGTGAAGTCAGCACCTTGTGACCAGCTGTCTCTGTGCACACTAGATAAGTGATGGGCAACATAGGCTAGCGAGTGGGCTGCATGAGTGGCCATCCATCTCAGTGGGCCATAATATTGTCAGAACCAAGATGGTCTCCCGGAATAAGGTAGATTTGCTAACTGCTTGTGTACCCAATATGTAGGAGGATGCCAATCAAACTATAGCAGCACACTGATTGGATGCAGAGGGAGCACAAAACTCTCACAAGTCAATGTTGTGTGCAATCAGCACGCACTTCACGTGGGTGTCACTTTAGTAATACCAGTAGGAAAAAAGTTATGCAGACAGAAGCCAGCGGAATCTGGCAACCCCAGCATATGGGTAATGATAAACAAAATATCATGTGGATCATGCATAGAACCCTGATAGCCCACCACTGGTCTAGGTAATGAGGCAAAATAACCAAACAGTATTTTACCTCATTCTCAATGAATAAGTTCAGTATATCCTTCCCTATCTGCCACAGCAGTTGATTCTCAATGGGAAGGTCCACTGTACTAGTTTTCACTTTAGCCTTCTTGGCTTGAGGAGGTTGATCCATTTTCTTGTCTTTTGATCCAGCTTGAGATGTCTGCATTTAAAAAAAAAAAAAAAACACACGCACCCACAAACACATTCAGGATGCAATAGTCACTAAGGGAACACTATTCAAGTTGCATGTGTCTCCGTTTTTTGTTACAATGTTTATTAAAATTTAATTTACTAGGAGCACACTATCAGTCTCTGCTATTTCATTTCACCTGAATGAAATTCTTAGCTGCTTTGAAATTGTGTCAGTCTATAGATTTTGCAGCTCTCTAGTTTGGCATTAACGAAATTCTGCAGCAGTTCATTTATTAAAAACAAGACATTTTTAAATACTGAATTGCATGTGAATACAAAAGCCTTGTGCTATTTTAAATTTTAATTTAGCTTTATGCTAATTTTCTGTATCAAAACCAAAACTATATGGCACAAATTGGTGAAAATTGTGGTTCTGGCAGCTGAGTAGCAGTCAGTGGGAGCATTTGGTATTAGTAATGTTGTCAGAGAGGGCTTAGCACATTTTTTGCTTAAATATGCGCCAGTTATAGTAAACATTTAATTTAAAGGTGTCAGTTTAGTTTTTGGCAAGAGCAGTCCTTTCAGATGAATGGGGCAATTCCCACATCCCAGAGCTCCCTGATTCCTTAGGGAGACAGCTCTGAATCAATTAGCATTTTTAAGGAACAGTCACAATCAGGAGAACTAGAAAAATATTTAAGCGACAATTCAGTTTACAGAGCCTAATTCTGTGCCAAAGAATGTAGAACCGGTCCCTGATTACATTACAGACCAAACATTCTACAGGCTGGATGTTCCTGGTCTCAGATGAGGGATTCTGCCAGATCAGGGGAGGTCATTTTTGGACCCTGCCACTGGACAGCCTGCCATCAGCTCCCTGCGGGTAGCCCACTGTCCTGCTGGCCCCGCAGAGATCCTTACTGCTGACCTTCCACCAGGACTCTCTGGTCCTGCAACAACCATGCCGGACCATGGATGTTGCCAAATCAGAGAATCCCAGTTAAGAGAATTTCAATCTGTAGAAGGCAAAAGTGTTCTAACCCAGTGGTCCCCAATGCAGTGCCCCATGGGCGCCCCGGCAACTGCTGGGGCATTTATGTACACCCGCCAAAATATCTGGGCTGGCCCCGCCCCCAGCACATGCGTGGTGCTGGCCCCGGGCGCGTGGGTGGTCCCTGGCCCAGGTGCACGGCACCGGCCCTGGGCTCAGGGCGTGTGGGCAGTCCCTACCCCCGGTGCGCAGCACATGTGCGGTGCCGGTCCTGGGTGCAAGGCGCGTGGGCGGTCCCTGCCCCGGGCACACGGCACATGCGCGGTGCCGGCCCTGGGCTCAGGGCACATGGGCGGCCCCCACCCCTGGGCACATGCGTGGCCTCACCCCCCCCAGAAGCGTGGCGTGTGAGCGGCCCCGCCAGGTTGGGGACCACTGTTCTAAGCAGGTGAGCTAAGCAGACTATAAGACATCAGTTACACTTAGTACCTCCATTTCTTCAGACTCTGGCTTGTCAGTTCGTGCTTGCTGCTGCTCTTCATTCTTTTGTTGCTCTTCCTGGTCTATTTGCATCTTCTGAAATTAGAAGAAAACTCTTAAATGTAAAACTAAGTCTCAAATACTTACTTTACTATGGCTTAGCATATAACCCATTTAACTTCTGGATTGGTCACTGTGCTTGTATACTTAAGGTCCTGCAGTGAAGATTTAACTCCACAAGAATCTAAGTTTAGTTCAAGTGACAAATTATATAATATATATTCTTTACATCTAATCTTTATTGATAAATATTTGCCATACTGAAATTTAATGGAGACAAATTGTGTGTTTGTTTTTAAAAACAATGGTTACTTACCGTACAGCAGGGGTGGGCAATAATTTTTAATGGGGGGGGGGGAGGGGCCATGCCAAGATTTTGGCAACTGGTTAAGGGCCACACTTCTGTGGAGGGTATCTGGGACAGAGGTTGGGTTCAGAAGGGAGCTTGAGGTACACAACTCAGGTACAGAAGGAGATGAGGGGTCTGGAGTTTGAGTGAAGGAGGGGGCTGTGATTTGGGGCAGGGACTTGGGGTTCAGGCTCCAGGAGGGGGGTAAAGGATACAGGAGAGAACTATGGCCTGGGGCAGGGGCAGATCTGGTGGCTTGGTGGGATGGATCCAGCCAGCTGGCAGCCTCCTGCTCACCCTTGCCCTACAGTAACTATAGTTATTCAAGATGTGTTGTACACACAAATGCCTCTGTACAGATGCACATGAGATTGGATTGTTTTGGCCAAGAGTAACTATTGAGGCCAGGTCTGTCCAACTATCTCAGTTCGTTTACGAATACAGACTACTCTAGGAGTAGGATTCTGTAGTCAAGGGGAAGAAGGGAAGGTTGTGGAATCTGTGATAAAACATCTAAGAACCAGAGTTAGTGTAGGATAAATGTTTTTTCCTCAAACAACTGTCTACACAGATTCTACTCTTGGTGACTACTAAGCAGTCCTCTAATGCTTGAGGATGGGAAACAGGAGTTCTACTTAAACTGGCAGTCATTAATGGGGTTATGCTGCATTCAGTCTGGAAGCCTCTATAAAGGAATAGCAGCTTGAAAAGGTGTGGTTTGAGCTGCATATAGCTGCTCCACAAATTTACTACAGGATCATTCCTCAGCCTTAGGCTTCCTAAGCTCTAGTGGAATGAGCTCTAATATTACAGGGAGTGTGTATAGACTACAGAGTTTTTTTGTTTTGTTTTTTGTGAAAAAAGTGACTTTTTTTTTTAAAAAAGAAAAACCCCACACCCACACACTTCTTCTGCATCTAGACTGCTGCCACATTCTTTTGAAAGTAAACCGTAAGAATGCGGTAGTTTTTTTGACAGCAGAAAACCTTATTTTACAAGGAAGAATGCCTTTTTTCGAAAGTGCTCTTTCAAAAAAAGGCATTATCTAATGCAAGCTGTGCTTTTTTGAAAGAAAGCATCCAGGCTGCTTGGGTACTCTTTCGAAAAAGCGGCTTGCATTTTCAAAAGTACTGGTTGCAGTCTAGACGCTCTTTTTCAAAAGACTCTTTTGAAAGAGGCTTGCAGTCTAGATGTAGCCTAAGAGTATCTACGTTGGCTAACTGAGCTCTCTTTATTCTTGGAGATCTCATGGTGGTTATCCTATAGTAACAAAAAATATAGCAAAAACTACAAACAGCTGGTATACTCTTGGATGATTTTGTCTTGTCTAAATAAAAACAATACTCTTTATTACATTAAGCATGTGAAGTCTACATTCTTCTGGAAGGTTAAGTGAGGTTTAAGAAAGAAAAACTAGAAATGGCTTATATGGAACAGAAAATATTTAGTGAAAACTAAGGTTGAGGTCTAAACATAATTCTGTCCTTATTCAATACTGCATATTGAGCTGAGTCCCCCCTGCCCACCTAGCTCATGCAACAGCTACCCAAGAGACAGGTGGTTAGGAAACAGGTTGCTAAGGACTCTAAGAAGGGATCCATCAATCCTGCTAACACTAGGGATATAAGCAGTCATTGAAAAGTGTAGATACTTAACCACTACAAATCCTATGCATTGCAGGCTCTGCCGTATAAAGCTTATGTATATACACTGCAGAGCTCTCAGCAATGCCTCCCCGCAAGTGGAGCCTGCAAGGGTTGCTAGCCCTCTCCCAGGGAAGCTTTGCTGCGGTAGTGAAGCTGGCTCCTCGGGAGGAGAGTCAGCAGCAACTTAGGTGGCTTCGCTATGGGATGTGCAGTACTGCAGAGCTCATAGCGAAGTCGGCTTCCCGGGAGCAGAGCCGGTAGCCCCTACCAGTACCATTCCCAGGGAGTCGGTGTGAACCATAATGGAAACAGTTAAACTGTTTGGTTACATATTTACATCCCTAACTAAAACTATACTGAAGTCCAAAGAAGAAATGACTCCCAAACAAGCAGGAGACCTTTCAGAAAATCTGGATCAGAAAGCATTGTCAGATATTGTTGCTAAAAAAAGACTCTTAGAAGAGACAGAAAGTCCAGATTGTTTGCTAGGCCTGAAACAGTAAAGTACCACTTTTCTCCCTTATTACTAAATAGAACAGCTCTTTCATTTAGCTTTGTAAGTCAGAATGGTCATGGGTTTCTTGCTTTGGAGCACAACACTGAACTAGGGATGTAAATGGTTAACCAGAAAGCATCACTTAACAGGTGATATTTACTGGTTATGATAAACTGATGGGGGGTTGGAGCAGCCAATGCCCACTGCGGTGGAAGGAGAGGGGCACTCCAGCCCAGCCATGTTGGGTGGGCAGGCCACTCCAGTCCCATAATTGGTTAAACCAGTTAACATACAGGATTTTATATTCCTATTGTGAACAGCCTCTTTAAGTGGATGTTATTCATCCAGTGCTCAGATGTTGGGGATCATGATACTGGGCTCAATGGCAGGACCTGGCAGTTGTTCTGGGAGACTAATCAATCAGAGCAGCTAAGGTTACTGGAATTAGGATTCATCAGATCCTAATACTATAACTGCCTGATCCATATACTGGTCCTTCAATCCTTTGCCTCACATTTTCTCATAACCATCTGGGTTATGGGGGGGATCAGCTGAAAGGCATATGTCAGTCCCAGAGTTCAAGGAGGGGAGAAAGGCATCTGTTGGGAATCCTGAGATGGGGAAATGATTAGCCTGCCCTGTGAGTCCCTGTTGGGCTTGTACACACTGGCAAACCAGGCCTGTAGATGGCTAAAGGCACAGCCTGGCATTCTACATCAGCCACATGAGGGCTGCCAGGTGCCTGAGGAGCCTTAAGCAGGTTCTTGCTGTGGTGATGGGGACCTCTTGGATACTGCTGATGAGATCTATGGATGTGTGCAACTGGGACTTGGGCAGGTAGGCTCTCAACCCCAAAGAACTCTATCTTTTGCATCAGGACCAGTGCAGACTTGGGGGCACTCAGAATGAGCCCCAGTTTGGTGAAAGTGGCTCATGTCATTGCTACGTGTTCTAGAACTTGTTCCTGTGATTGGTCCTTGTGAGCAGTAATCCAGATAAATTACACCCATTTGTGCAGAAAGACTGCTGCTACCACTATGCACTTTGTGATTATGTGTGCGACTGAAGAGATGAACAGGAACACGGTGAACTGATAATGTCAACTGCTGATGACAAATCTCAGGAACCTTCTGTATACTGGGTAGGTATATATTAGACTGGGGCAAAATACCCCGCCCCTTCCTGTACTCTAATCCCCACCACAGGTCAACCTAAATCTCTGCATTCCAGTCTCCTAACCCAGGTCACAACTGCCTCCTTTACCCAAACTCCACACCTTCTCTTGCACCTCTATCCTTTACTACAAGCTCCGTTCTGTACCTCAGCCTCCATCCCAGACCCCGCAGTTCCTTGATTAATATGCAAGAGTACAGCCCTTAACACCACTTCCCAAACCCTTGGAATAGCCCCCCACATCAAAAGTTATTGCTCACCCTGATATATGCATCCTTCAAATCGAGGACCCAAACTCCACACCTTCTCTTGCACCTCTATCCTTTACTACAAGCTCCGTTCTGTACCTCAGCCTCCATCCCAGACCCCGCAGTTCCTTGATTAATATGCAAGAGTACAGCCCTTAACACCACTTCCCAAACCCTTGGAATAGCCCCCCACATCAAAAGTTATTGCTCACCCTGATATATGCATCCTTCAAATCGAGGGGATGCCTCAGTGAAACCATAAGAAACTAACTTTCTTATGAATGCATTAAGCTTTCAAAGGTTTAGAATGGGCCTGATCTCACACTTGGCCTTGGAGATAAGTAACAGGAGTAGACACCCCTACCCCATAACTCCTGGTGATCCTACTTTATCTCCCACAATACGAGGAGCTATTGCCCAATAGGAACAGGGAAGGTGGGGGTTGGAAGGCTGGGAAGGCAGAGAACTGGATAGACTATCCCATTTACCTCTTGCTCAGAATCCAGTAATCTATGGTCATCTGGGCCCAAGCATGGTTGAAGTCAGATAGACTGTTCCCAAATGGGGGGTGGGGGAGGTGCAAAGATTTGGGATTTGAGCTGGTGCTCCATTCCCAGGCACACCTTCAGAAGTTTGCATTGGGGCTGAAGGGCTGTTTCTAATGGCACTGACCCTGGCCAGTGAGACTAACTGCAAGGACTGCCTCCTCTGTTTGTACCCTTCCTACTACTATACACCAGGCATGGGGAACCAAGGTAAAAAATGTGTAGGGGCTATGGCTTAAAGGGTTTCCTCTGAGGCATTGGTGTGTGAATGCTGAGCAAATGAGTAATTTGAGAGTCCTTTAGAATTTTTAGTCAGGTGTCTGTCTTTTCAGAAAACTTTCATGCACGGAAGATTTGGATTTCTTAAGGAGGTGCAAGCCACACATCTACCCTTTTCCAAGAGGACAGCAAACTCCTGTCAAGACTCAGCTGGGAGGAACTCCTGGAATTTGGACAGCATGTTCCAAGAGTTATATGCATACCAGTTTAGCACTGTCTGGTTTGATATGCAGATCTGAAGCGCACTGAGTAAACCTTTCAAAGAGGTCTAAGCTTCCTCACCTTGTTCTTTGGGGATGCTCCTGATTTCCTTATGGTTGGCAACATCAACCACAAGGAACCCACAGCTGGGTATGAGTAAACAAAAATGTTTCCCCCCCCTATTGTGGGACAAAGAGCCTCTCAATGTCTTTTTTTTATTGAGGCCAGGGTTTGCCAGAGCACCTTCATGCTGGTCTGGATTGTCTTAAGTGGCAGAGGACAGGCGTATGTCCACCATAGGGTCCATTCTTCCACCACCTCCTCAGTCAGCACACTGAGACTGCAATCAACCCATCTAAGACGACCCAGATGCACCTTAGAGTCCAGGGCTGAAAGGACAATGAAGTATCCACTACTGCCTCCTCCAATTAAGAGGAGGAAGAGGCCCTGGAAAACAGGTCTTCCTGATCTTCAGACTCTCTGGTGTCCTCAGAGATGTTAGGCTGGAGAGTCATCAGCAGTGGGGAACATGGTAGCACTCATGTAGGCTTGCTGCTTATTCAGTGCCTGCACCAGGTACATCTCAGACCCCTTTTGGAGCTCTGTTATGGAAGACAAGGCCAAAAGGAAGCTACCAAGTAGAGGAAACCAGCAATGCAGCACTTGACACTGGGTCCTCAACCCTGATGGTTGGCCCAAGCAGTCCAGAAGGGACATTGCATTGGAGTCAGTCATTGAGGGAGCCAAGACGTATGTAGTGCCGCGGAAGTTCCCACTGTTGGTGCTGTGAACAGTAGAGATGTGAAAGCGTAAATGTGTACATACAACACAGAGCGGGGGCTGCAGCAGAGAGCAGTGCAGGGGGCAGGTGGAAGCTGGTACAAGCAAGGAACTGGCTTTTAAGCAGGCTTCCCACACCTACCAGCTCCCGCAGAACCACTTGTCCCCTCCCACGTCACACTGCTATTTCTATCAGCTACTCCCACCACATGTAAACATGTAACTGCTGAAATTTTCAACGGTTACACACTTACCTAAATAAATGCATTTTAACATCCCCAGTGACCAGTGCCAGGATCAAGATTAACACTAGGTCCTATGGGTCTCTGACTCGGAGACGTAGTCAGAGCCCAACTGTGGCAGTGATTGGTGCCAGGGCAACAGTGATGCTTCATCACGGCAGGTAAGCTGTGGTGCCAGGTGGGGGCTGGCATGGCAAGGTACTACTCCAGAGGGCTCCACAGCCTGACAGGTACTGCTAGGGGCAACACCTGACAATTGTTCACACAGCACATGCACACTGGAGTGCACATGAGTAATCATTCAAAGAAGAACAGTCCATTCACTAACTTATCTGAAACACTATTGTTGCCCAAGATTATTATTCTCAAACAGAACTATTAAGTTTAGCCCTGTATTATCTTGATTATAGATTTGGCAATGTTCTTAAATCTTCAGCTGCATCATCAAACCAGTCCTTTAGTCATGGGCCTTCCCTAGGCAGAGTGATAAGTGTGTGGTGACTTGTCATGTACACAAGTTGAGCAAGAACAAACCATCCACTTGTGACTTCCCTATAAATTGGCCCTAGTTTCAGGAAAAGTCAGGACTAATGCATTACATTTCAACACTTACATCATAATTTTAGATGAATTAAGCAACATTTGTACACTGTGTTCAAATTCATCTATGTGTAAGAAGCAATGTGGGTGGCAAAGTTACAACTATTACTTGACCTGGTTTAGAGAGTTAGTCCTGGCTTTTTTCTGAAACTGATACCAAACTGAGAGTCAGTTTGTTCTCAGTCTCAAGTTTTCCCACAAGATCTCCATAGCAAAAAAATTTATTACCTCTTCCTCTTTCTGATCTGTTTCCATGGGCTCTTCATTCTCATCAGATTTGTGAACTTCTACTAAAGATGCACTGGAAACACTGAAAATACCATGGATATTTACTCTGACTTTGACTTTCACTTTTGAACTGGATCCATCTGTTTGCGGTGTGACCTTTTGAACCAAAAAATGAGCTAAACATTTCAAGAGAGAAAAAAAGGATATATTTACTTAAGATAAATAATCAAGTGTGAACATTTAACTGATTTCTAACTATTGCTGACAACAGTCTGCAATTAAATCAAGTTGTGTAAGTTGTTTCACAAAACTAACTGAACCAAATAATTGATTTTCTTCAGTCAGTCACAGTAAAATTTACTCTACTTTGCAGTTTGCCTTGTAGCTTGGAAGTGCGGCATTTGGAAAAGTTGCTATGGGTAGTTTTAGGAAGTCTTCAACTTTACCCAGATAAGTAACTGAACAACTATCTTTTTCCATTTGGCATATGTTTCTCCTCCACCAAGTAATGGATTTAGGATTTTCTTCTCCACTAATGTTGCTTTAAATCTGAATCATACAAAAATATCCATAAGATATTATTGTGCTAAACACACTTGCAGTACCATAGTTGTTGCAGTAGGATGGTAAAGTCCAACCCTACAAAATCAGAAAGTTGACAACACTCCAATCCGCTCCCTTTGCCCCACCATGTCCTTTTCCAACTATGTGGAACTGGTTTCCCTTTACCTATAGTAGGATCTGGGTAAGGCAATTCCTTAGGAGAAGTATAGTAGGCCTCAAGAGTGAAAGGCTCCTTTCTGAAGAATGAGAGGACCTTGGAGAATGGAGCTGCATGATTCTTGGGGAAAACTTCACAGTTACTGTGGAAGAGAAAGATGTAAGGAAACAGGTAGCTATTACAATGTCACTAGTGGGAAATATGCAGCAAAACCTAGCAGAAGCACGAAATGCCCGATAGAGATGGAAACAGATGACAACATCTAGCTTTATCTTGACCATCATTTTACCAAAGGTTCTCATTAGTAAAAAACAGAAAGGTTGCATTTAAAAAGCTGAAGAACTTAACATGACAAAAGCTCAAGTGATTGCTTTTTATTCTTACTAGCACAAGAGCAGCAACTGAAGTTCTGGAATTTAGGCTTTCAAACATTTTTTTACAATAAGTGGGTCGACCGGGTACAAGTTTCAGCGCTTTTGTTCTTACCCTTTTATAGGCATGCTTAAATTTCATAATGTTAAATTCTTACCTTAACCCTTCCTCTGCTGGTGAATTCCATCTTAAAGAAATAGGATATGGTACCAAATCTGTGATAGAAAATTCTCTCACTTTGAAAGCCGGGGACAAAATAGCACACTATAAGAAATAGCAAAAGGGTAAGTACAATTGTACAGATAAATATAGGTAGGCAGTAATACTAGGCCCTTATGGTTAATTACTTTTACAAGTATGTGAATTCCAAGTTAAACATATCTATATACTAAAAATATACTATTTCTTTTGTGATGGAGTCATGCACAGTTACTAGACAACTTCAGGGACTTTCATGTTTTATTTGAAGTTAATCAAATTTCTCCTCCAGTTCATTCAGGACCATATGGTGGCAAGTTTTCTGATTCTGAATATTGTAATGGCTCCTATAAAATATTTTTAGTACTAACAGATGATGTAGGACTCAAAACTCCCCTAATTTAACAGAGATTGTAAGGGGTATAGCACCATGGTATTCATGTGCCATACAATTCAAGTTCTTGAGAACAGCAAGAACTTGACACAGATGTTTTACACTACAATAATGGTTGAAAAGACAGTTGTCTAAAATGATAATCACTTTAGTAAGCACTTTAAACAACACACAGTATTTGCTTCTAGCTCAGGTAATACCACAAATTACTGGACCTTTAAACTTGTGGCTCTAACAATGACTTCAGCACCGCTCCAGTGCTGGACATAGCACGTGTCACACCAACATAGCTTTCGTTTTCAAGAATTTAAATCAAGCCATATCGTCTTATTCTTTACTTGAACTAGGTTTCATTTGTATAAAAATATATGCAATATGTTTAAGCAACGTACTGCATATTTGCACTAATTTCATGATTACATTTAAGGTTATCCTGTTTTTAGTGTTAGTTCCAGAGAAGAATTTAGCTATCTGCTGGATACCAGTCAAGTGCTACATTACTTTTTTTTTCCCACAGCTACCCTTTTACGTGTTTATATTGCATCTATTTTTGCCAGTCATAATTGGAATGTATACCCAATTCTAGATAACATGCCAATTTGTTGGTTGTGCTGTTTGCCCCCAGACGTTTCAGTTGATCAACCAACAGAGTCTATACAATGAGCCAAACTGTCCACTGTTCACTTCTTAAGTTCAATCAAATCACTTCTACAACACATGCACATCCAAAAGTGAAATAAGTTGCTCAATGCCAGATAATGTAGTACGTCATACCCTTGGGCTTAAATGTTCATTGACTTCAACATAGAATCAAGAAGCCCTTAGCATACAGATAATTGGTTCTTACCTGCAATGCACATCCTCGTGCAACAGCCTCATCTGCATTCAAAGTTGTACTGACTTCCTTACCGAAAAATTTACTGATCCTCTCCTTTACAGCAGGGATTCTTGTAGCACCACCAACTATTTCTACCGCATAAATATCCTCCTTTTTTAACTCTAAAAAATTAGACATACATTAGTAACTTCGTTACAAAAATTCCTGCACTAAATTAGTAGCAATTAGTTCCTCTTTACAAGAAAGGTATTGCACTTGATTATAATAAAATCTCTAGAAGTTTTGAAGTTATTTTAGCCACCATTAAAAGTTTTGTATCCCCAGTTATCAAATGTTATTTACACAGGAATTATTTTTTAAGAAAGTATGCAACTAGCAATTGAATTGTTACATAAATTTTAAGTGCAATGTTTAAATTAAAGATCTGGCAAATGTCTAAGGCCAGCTAAAAATGAGAGAGAGATTTTCCTCATGTGTATACACACTCCCCCCATTAAGCACTGTAGTCAAGAGAACGTATGTACACTTACTAGCTTGTTCCAGAACACTGCGAAGAGGCGGTTCTACTCTAGCTAAAAGACTGTCACACATCTCTAAAAATTTGCCCCTGTTGGAAGAAGCCATATGTCAATTTAGATTTACATGAACAAAATTGATATTGCAAAATTCAAATGTATAGAACTGAAATTGGAAAATGCAATTTGAAACCTGCAAAGTATAAAATTTTACTTTTCTTCACCCAAAATCCTACAGTATGTATAAAGTTCTGTTTTTTACTAAAGCAATTTTTTTGTATGGCAACAGTGCTGAATATTCCACAATACAAGTGTATGCAATTGACAACATCTGTAGCTTCACGCCAAAAGAAAACTCATCAAAAGAAAGATATTTTGGTATATATTTGAGAGAGCCCCCTGTACAAGTGATACTAATTCTGATATGATCCCTGCAAATCCAACCACCCTTTATATTAGGATAGTGCCCAAAGCATCCTAATCAGGATTGTAGTATGACTCTGTTAGATACAGTACTTTACAGACACAGCCCCTATCCTAAAGAACTTGCATAAGATCAATTTTATAGTGATTACAACAATCAACACAAAAATAAGAATCAAGCACAAGGGAATCAGTTGAGCATTAGAGAGTCCCTAGATTCAGATTGTGACAGGCCACCAAAGAGCATGAAGTCTAGAGACAAGTGCCCATTACTACTGATGAAGAGAGTTTAAAGTTAAGGTTCTATCCTAAAAGGTTCCAAGCTATTTTTATCTTATTACAAAATGTAGGGCAAGAGATGGTGATGCTTACGAATTAAAAAGCAACATCAATATCTACTGGAGAGTGTATACCACTGATCATTTCACTTTACCTCCTAATTGTCTATTGATAATTATAAGCTACATTGTTACCTATCAGTCTGTTGTTCCTTAAGGGATAGCTTCAGTTTCCTATTACCTGTTAAATGCCAACACAAAACCCTTCTTTTAAGAACTCATGTTGTTTATCTATAAAGTGTCATATTAAACAGCTTAGTAAGTCAAATTCCCTACTCATTCCATGTACATGTACAACATACAAAAGGTCAATATATTTCTCCCACATTGTCAATTTTGCAATACAGTTAAACTCCAATAGTCCAGCATCCAGTTGTCCGTCATTCCTGATAGTCCAGCATCAACTGGAACACAGAACTGCTCAGGTCAGCCGCCCTCACTACTGGGACGCTGTGAGCTGCATGAGCACTCTCAGTCCTCAGCACACACAGCGTTCAGCCTGCATGTACTAGCAGCCGGCCGCTGAGCACAGGCAGCTGTTTCGGGACCCGGACATAAGGTTGAGGGAGAACTGGGATTGGGTGACAGCAGGGAGGGGAGGTGTTTGGCTCTGGGGAAGGGAAGGGGAAGAGGATTGGATGGTGCACGGCTTCCCAGCCAGCTCATTGAAAAGCCGGCTGCTCAGCGCACATGCCCCAGCACCTGGAGAGAGACGCACGGCTGAGCCTGTGGCTCCGGGACCCAAGCATAAGGTGAGGGAGGGGGAAGATTGGGTTGGAAGTATGCCCCCTTATAGTACCTCCTGGTACTCCAGCATATCCCATAATCCAGCACCACCTAGATCCCAAAGGTGCCGGATTATCGGAAGTCTACTGTATTTGTAAATTCTGCAGGAAGCATCACCTGAACTAGTCTAATATAGAAGAAAAATAAACATGACACCCAAAGTGCAAGAAGATGGTTCAATCCTCATTCATAGTGCCATGGCCAGACTGAACTAGTTTTTCATTTGGACACTAGTAACTCAGAACTTCCTGCTTAATTCACATAGGCTATTAAAAGAGACACTGGTAAGACCTTTGTTGCTAATAACTCAAATTAGAACTAGTTACCTAAATGTACCAAAGATGATTAAAATTTGGATTTATACAGATTAGTTCCCCATTTTTGCAGTTTAAAAAAAAAATCAACTAAGACCTTATGCTAAACAATCTGAAAATACCTGTTCATAGTTCCAGAAACATCAATATCATTCATGAAGCATTCTATGTTCATTGGGAGATCAGAGGCATTAGCACTCATCAGCTTCTTCAGTTTCTCACACTCCTGAAATAGTCTCAGCAACGCACGAATCTTTGATTTGATGTCTAATTTATATTTTTTCCCAAATTCTTCACAAAAATAATTAACTAACATTTCATCAAATTTCCTGCCACCAAGTGTGGTATCAAAGGCTGTAGCAAGAACCTAAAAATGAGACAAGGATTGATTACTTGCTAAAACCCATCAATAATCAATACATATCAAAATTTCTGTGTCAGAATAGCTTATTCCAGTAATTCATATTCAACATCATGATCCCGTCTAGAACACATGGCTACATTAACACAGACCTTCCTTGACAGTGGCAGGAGAAAACCAAAAAGAATCCAACATTGCCAGCTTTATTCCCATACTGCCTCCATGCGGAGGTAATGCTTAGTGTTGGAACACCTAATCACTGCAACTAGCAGAAAAAAGGAACCAATTAGTAACCTTTTATTTCCCTTACCAATGCCTCCACTTGGTTTATCTCCTCAGTAGGGACGTTAGAGTATAGACACTGAAACCTGGGCTTGTCCGTTAACCAAAATGTCTATACGCAACTCCTGTCCCTTGCTGCCTCTATATCAGGACTGGCTCCCCATGTGTGCCAGTTCCCACAGAGCCACCTGCTCCCACACTGCTACCTCCCACCCTGCTTAAAAGCCAGCTCCCCCCAAGCACTGGCTCCACGGAGCCACCTGCTCCACTCTACAGCAGTGCGGGGGAAAAGGAGGAAGCGGGCAGAGGAGGCTGCCATAAAGCAGCCTCCGTCCACAGGTAGCTCGGGCCCCCCACGGATTATGTTTGCTGCCGCCCCATGCTGCTGCCTCTGTATCAGAAGCAGCTGCACAGGATGGCTGGCAGAACTGCTCTGCAAGGAGAGCCAAAACTGGCTCCTCTTGTGCCGTGGCAGAGTCTCCCTGGAAGCAGGGCCAGGAGCGCACTGGCTGCTAGCCCCACCCACAAGGGATTATTTTTAGTCATCATGTAACCGATAAAAATTGTTGCAGCTACACGATTACTACAAATCACAAAATCTAACATCCCTAATTCTCACCATCCCTTGCCAGCAATAAAGCTTCAATCCTGTGCCACTCTGGCACATTTCACTTCGCAATGCTAACCTAAGGGTGTGTCTAGACTACAGAGTTTTGTCGACAAAAGTGGACTTTTGTCGACAAAACTATACCTGCATCTACACTACCGCTGAGTTCTGTCAACATAACGTCGACAGAACTCAGCAGTTTTGTTGACGCTGGTAAAACTCATTTTACGAGGCATAACACCTTCTGTCGACAGAGTTTCTGTCGACAGAAGGTGTTATTGCATGTAAACTGTCCTTTGCGTCTACACTACCATGTTGACAAAGCAAGCTGCTTTGTCGACAGAACTGAATGTAGTGTAGACGCTCTTTGTCGACAAAACTTCTGTCGACAAAAGCCTGTAGTCTAGACGTACCCTAAGAGAAGATCAGCTTTGTCAGGATTGTGCCCTTACTGCCCCATACAAGGCACTTTTACAGAGGAGCATCAAAGTAGAGAGTTTAGATTGGATAATACTTCTAGTTACGAAATTCAAAGTTAGTCAAGAATAAGCAGTTATTTACTACGTTATACCATATTTGTCTAACCCCGAGTTAGAAACAACTGGGGTACGATATACACCAGAATGGAATGGAACAAAAGACCTGTGTAATGTTTTGATGTAGACCAGGGATTCTCAAACTGCATTGCACCATGACCTGCTTCTGACAAGGAAAATTACTACACGATACCATGAAGGGATACTGATGCCTGAGCCTGTCCGAGCCCCACTGAGTTCAGAGGCCAATGCCCAAGCCCCACAGTTCTGGGCAAGGAGACGAAAGCTGAAGGCCCAGGGCTTTGGCATGAGGCCTGCAAAGCTTTATGTGATGCAGTGCTCATGGGGCGCCAGCTTAAAAGCTGGCTCCCAAGGGCACCAGCTGCTGCCTTTGCTCTCTCCCCCACTGCCTCTCTAGCAGGAAGAGGGAGCATATGTGCATGTAATTCAATAAGCCCAGGCTTACTGGTTAATCATTTAAACAATTATACACTAACATCCCTATAGAGGGCCACATTACAATCCATACTATGGTCATGTCAGTGCCTAGCAAAGTTACGTCAGGCCATTAAGTGTTCAGAAATCGAAATTCCTGTGATACTGGAAGAGCGATCAATACCAATTGATTAGGAGCCATGGAAATGGAGAGATTGCTACTGTTTTCCCCCTCAAACTAAAATCTGGTAGTAGAGGCCTTTCGCGCCCCAATGAACAGCCATACATACATTTGAGCCCCAATGAACAGCAGATATAGCCCTATGTTTCTGAAGAACCCAAATGCACAGTACCACATCTCTACAAGACACTCATGCCATTTTAGAGGCACTAGATGGTCCTTTACCAATCCTTCCCACCAACAGTACCAATTTACTTGAGCCTGCTCTTAGTCTTCAGGCTTACCTGCAGCTGAGGATCCTGCAGCCACATGGGTATCTAGTTATAGGGTCAGTTAGTACTGAAACAGTTGACCTTGCCATGGATCTCTCTCTCTCAGCTGATTTCCTACTCTGGGCTCATAGCCTATTTTGGGGGGCTTTGAGAAGAACTCAAGGTTTTCTTCTTTGAAGTCACTGAAGAGTGCTAAGCTGATACATTGATAGGACTGCCCTTGTTAGGGATCACTATACTCAGGGGATCGAAGGCAGTGGTTGGTCAGAGTCAGCTTTCCATCATGTAAGTCTTAATTTAGCTCATGGTTCTTTCCAGCTCCAGATTTTAGTTGAAGAAAAATGCACACTTAAGCCAGATACATGTGACTTTGAGGCACCAAAAGTAGTAGGAATGGCTGTCACTTACAGGAACTGCTTCTCAACAGGAGAAGAAACGTTTGAACTTGGGGAAGCCAGGCATGCCTTTTTTAGGGTCCACTTCCCAAACATGAAGAAAATATAAAGAACTTACGCTACGGTGGTACTCCCCCCCCCCCCCCTTCTTCTCCTGGCTTACAATCATCCTCATAGCTTCTGCTCTTCCATCTTTCATCTGTAGACTTTTTAAAGGAAAGAGGTATTAAGGCTAGCATAAGCTGTTTTACGACATCTAACTCTGAAGGCAACAAGTAAGAAAACACTGAAGCTATGGCAATGAACTCTGCTATGTCTCCAGCTCAGGCCAAGGAGTTTGCCTACACAGCATTATACAGCAAAAAGGCAGAGTTAAGCCAAACAGCACATATGCAGGCTGAACAGACTAGTCTATCTTAAATCTACAATCAAAGGCACAGGAATGTGAATATTCCTGGAGTGGAGCAACCATAGGAACATTACTTGAAGAAAAAAATCAATATCTCCATGCATTAATATGCAATATTTGAATTACAGTAGCAATTATGTGGTTCCTCTGCCTTAAATTGTCATGATTTGTATAACTCTTAGCACCAATCTATTTCTGGACACCTGGATCTAGTGCTAGAACTAGGGTAGCCAGAACTCCTACTGCTACAGGAAGATTTTTCAGCTATGCATAGCAACACAAGGAACAATGGGGCAGACAGGGGCATGATCTTGTACTCTTAAATTGTTACCATGAAAGTGTTTTTCTTACACTATGCCACAGTTTGAGTCATATCCCAGTTTAATGTACAATGCCTAATAAGGGTTCTATGTCCATACTGGAATAAAAATAAACTAATATTTAACTCCTTGCAGATGAATTAATTAGTATTCACCTGTTAATTCATGCCTGTAAAGTGCCAACTCCCTTCTTTACTGCATCTCCAATTTGCCTGAATTCCAGACAGTTTTGAAATACATTACCACTTGCCCTTACAAGCAGCTCTGTGGCACCTTAGAGACAAACAAATGTATTAGGTCAGTGTTTCCCAATTGGTGCTCCGCCTAACCCCGGGGTTCCATGAAGCGAAAGTAAGGGTTCCACAAGAACTCAGCACTGCTGAGCCCCCTCTTAAAGAAACAAAGACAAATTGCGGCAGGTTTTTTTTGCCTGACAGCTCATGGAGGGGCTTCTTTTTTGCTCAAAACCTAGGGGCTGACGTTCTTTCAAGCCAAAAAGGGTTCTGTGGCCAAATAAAATTAGGAAACACTATTAGGGTACGTCTAGACTACATGCCTCTGTCGCCAGAGGCATGTAGATTAGGCTACCAGACATAGGAAAATGAAGCGGCGATTTAAATAATCGCTGCTTCGTTTAAATTTACATGGCTGCCGCGCTAATCAGCTGTTTGTCAGCTCAGCGCAGCAGCCATGTAAATTTAAATGGAGCGGCGATTATTTAAATCGCCGCTTCATTTTCCTATGTCTGGTAGCCTAATCTACATGCCTCTGGCGACAGAGGCATGTAGTCTAGACATACCCTTTGGTCATGAGGTTTCATGGGTAAAACCCACTTGATCAGATGAGACTCCCCACTTGATCACATGAAGTTTAGAGACTAATGCAGCTAGCCCTCTGAAACTTTGCATTTGCACATATCACTCGACCTTAAACGGCCTCCTCTATCATTACTAGAAAATGGCTTCAAGAGGAGTTCCTTTCCTTCTGTATCTAAACTCACTCTGCCCTAAGAACCACATTCTAAGATTGAGAAATCAGTGAGATGGAAGTAAAATGATACAACAGAAAAGATCAATCTCGTTCTGAAAACATGCTGAATTCACTATTCCACCCTGTCTACAAGTGCAAGTGCTTATTAACACCACTTCAGCCCTCTCCATTAGGTACCATCCTGTTTCAGTATGTTAACTATATAATGTTTCCATACAATTAATTAGTTCTTGGACCCAGAGCATATATTGTATAGACTTTTGGTTTAGAACATTATTTATCTCAGCTATATTCCATTTAAACTAGCATTACTTAATACTTCAGCCTACTTTTTACTTTGAGGCACTCTAACTGAACTCATGTCACAACATATTCACTTGTTCTTTCAACTGAAGCAGCAATATAGGGCTATTGGATTAAGGATGTTAAATGGCATTTCATCAGCTAATCAGTCAATAAGGGGGGAAAAACTGCAGAGCTGCAGCAGTGTTCGCTCCCGATCCTGAGGGAGCTAATCCTGCTGCAGCTCTGCCTTTTAAATGTAGTAAGAGGCATCCAGCTCTTACTACATTTAAAAAGAAGAGGCACAGCATCTGGGATCGAGCCAGGACAGCTGAGTCCCAGCTGACATTCGGTCCTCTGCTGTGCCTCTGTCTCACCTGCTCCCTCCCCCTGCCGTGGATATGGCGCTGGGGGGGAAAACCAGCTTTTAAACCAGCTCTCACCAGCACCAGCTCCTGCTCCCCCACTGGCTGCCTAGGCTTATCACTTACATCCCTATATTGGATTTCATAATACACTTTTGCCCACAAGGCTGACACTACTGAAGATTTCTCTCACAGGAAAAAAAATAATTTTGAACAGAAATAAGGAACAATTATTCAGGCAATTGTGCTTCAAAATAAGACCCTCCATAATCACTTTCTCAAGTTAATTAGTGCTCTTAGAATCAGAGCTCAAAGAGACCTCAGGAGGTTATCAAGTCCAGCCCCCTGCCCAAGGACTCTTAAAACTTGAACTACTGACACATCATACCTATCGTGTTTCCTATGGTACTCACATCACAGGTTTTACAGTCAACAGGAAGCATTATGGTCATTTAGTCAGACCTTCATAATAAAGTAGTCCAGTAATTCCTGCTTCAAGACATGAATTTCTGGTTGAATTAGAGCACCTTTTTTAAAAAAAGACGGCCCATAAGGTGTACTATTAGTATAGAGAAAAATTAGCTCAACTTTTTATTTTCACTCTGCCAAAAAGCTACTGCAGAAACATGTTTGTTTCAACAAGTGTAGCCATGAAAAAACTTAAGCACATCTTCTCCCCAGTTACCTAACAGAACAAACATGAACCTTTGGAAAGTGCAAGATGCACTGCCTGCACACACTGTCATATTAAGGCAGTCAACCAAACATTGTAATCCATAAATATAATGGTGAATGTTTTACTGGTCATTAAAACAAATACATAAAATTGCTTACTTTCAGTTTTCCTTTGTTGAATGAACATACTGCTACTTGATATGCAGACTGTCCCATGTCAACAAAAACAACATTTCTTGGCTTCTCTTCTAAGGCAGGTAGGTCTTGTTTATAGATTCCATATGCAAGAGCAACTGAAAAAAAATCAATACACACACACCAATATAGAAAACAAAAGTCACACAATCCTTCAACTCCATTTTTGGAATTGCTTTCTTAAACAGTACGGCTACGTCTACACTGGAACCCTTTTCTGGAAATGCTTAAAACAGAACAGTTTTTCCGTTATAAGTATTTCCGGAAAAAGCACGTCTATATTGGCAGGATGCTTTTCCGGAAAAGCACTTTCCGGAAAAGCGTCCGTGCCAATGTAGATGCGCTTTTCCGCAAAAAAGCCCCGATCGTCATTTTCGCGATCGGGGCTTTTTTGCGGAAAAGACTAGTGTGCTGTCTACACTGGCCCTTTTCCATAACAGTTTTTCCGGAAAAGGACTTTTGCCCGAACGGGAGCAGCATAGTTCTTCCGGAAAAACAATGATGATTTTACATTAGATCATCATTGCTTTTCCGGAAAAGCAAGCGACCAGTGTAGGCAGCTCGCAGCTTATTCCAGAAAAGCGGCTGCTTTTCCAGAATAAGTGGCCCAGTGTAGACACAGCATACTTGTTAAAGAATGACTAAATGTCAAGATTTAGGAACTTCAGGGGATAGCAGAGTTAGTCTGTTACAGGAAAAAAAAAACAAATGGACTGGTAGCACTTAGTCAAGATCATTTTTTGTTTTTGTCAAGATTTAATGCTACTTTACCAAGTTATAAAAGTTTGCATCTGGTTAAATAGACCATATACAAACGTCATGGAAGACTAACTACAAAACTACTTAGTTCCTCCTATGTCTTGCATTTACTTCTTGGATGATCTTTCTAAGACTCTAATAGTCTGGGTCTGTATTACAGAAGTCGCTAAAGTTTGAAGAACTCTGGAGAGCAATCAATGTCAGTTTAGCATATAGAACTGGTAATTCATATGGAAGGGGTTTGACAGACATAGGGAAAAAAGTTTAAAAGTTAGAGGATTGGAATTATAAAAGAGAATAAGAATACCTGAAGTAGTTTCATTTATTAGCCGCAAGCAGTTGAGGCCAGCAATCTGCGTAGCATCCATCACAGATCTCCTCTCTGCATCTGTATAGAAACATGGAACCTGCAAGAAATGCAAAGCATTTAGAAGAGCAAGTGCTCTACCAAATCACCAGGAAAATATTGTTCGGAGGACTAATTCACAAGCCAAAGAATGCCTCCCTTTCATTTATTTTTAAGTATTTTCTGCAAAATTAAGATTTTATTTTGAGTGTTGCAAACAAGGAAAAGTGTATCTACATGAGTAAGAGGAGGTTTCATTTAATTGCTTAATTAATTCTCATAACCTTTCCATTCATTTTAGTGAAAACTAATCAAAACCAGCACAAATAAACTATTTTATTGATTAAAACTATAAAAATAAATGGTATAATGTTAGCTGTGATCAACTCAATATCAGTTTTCACAGTGTGATCTGAGTAAAAAGTTACAAGGTTTATTGAAAGCAAGCAGGGACAGTGATTTATGTCAACTTCATTTATAAAACTGCTTTAAATACTGCAATACAACTATTACCACCATGATTCTTCAATGTATACAGATAACACTACATTGCCAAGTTTACCATCACCTACTTACAGAAACAACACAGTCAACTACAGGCTTCTTAAGTGCATTCTCAGCAGTTTCTTTTAGTTTGGTGAGGAGCATTCCTGTCACTTGCTCAATAGTGAAGTTTCGTTCTTCTTCCATATACATAACCTTTAGTGAAAAGCTTTTATAAGTTTGGAAAATGACAAGAAACAATACACTCAAATGACATTAAGGATCTGATGACCTAAGCCTACACAAAAATGTAAGTGGTCCTTAACAGACAAGTCTAGGGCCTTCAACATACTTGCATAATTTCACCACCACCCCGCCCCACTTCACTGCCTAAACCATGCCAGAGGACATCACAGAATAAACTGAATTCTCACTTATGCATACCAATATTTGAGAATTCAAGAGATTGAGAGGCAAGTTGAAAAGGACATTTATGTAAGTAAGTTTCCTGGGTTCCAAATGTAACAATGTATGCAGTTGACTTTACTGGGCCTTCAACAACCCCTGTTCCAGTAGTCATCATCAGGCTATTTTTAAGTCAAGAAAATTGCTCCCATTGTTGAACAGGTTTTGCAATTAAAATCTAAATATATTTACTGAAACATGGTCTGAAATATTCTTTTTTCTCCTCTAGTCTTGCAGTATATCTGAAGTGTTTAGTACTGAACATGGACCTTGATAAACAGTGGCATTCTAACAGAGTTCAAATCCTGGATTAGCTAAATCACAAGTAAAAAGGAATCTGAGTCTTAATCTTCACTTGTGCACATGAGTGACCACTGTCAGTTGGGAAGGTCTACTCAAAACACTCAGGGCTCAAAAGGGTACTGCTATTCAGGCCAGAGTCATATGGAAAAAGTTTGCACAGAGTGAGAAGGATCTATGTACAATTCTGGTCAATTACATCACTATAATTCTGAAATAATTTAGTTTATTTTAAAATAGAACTACTTGGCTATGTCTCCTTCACAAAATAAGTTGCTTTTCCTAGTTTCAGTTTTAGCCTACAATACAGATCTCCCTATATTTATTAATCCAGTAAGTAAAGATTTTTGTCATGCAGCAAAGTGCATTTGCAAAGAGAGTCCCCAGTGCAAAAGGGTAAAAGCTAAGCTGACAGATGAATTGTCATAGAGTTTCCCCTTCAGTTCTTTTCCAAGTAGGTCTGACTCACCTTGATGCCAGCTAAGCCTGTTGGCAGCTGGACAAGTTCATATGCCAGGTTGTTTTTTTCATCTTGAATAAAAGGATCTGAGAATGCACGGCCATGAAATCTTTTAAAGCCTTGTACAGTATTCTTTGCATTTGAAATGACCTGGCGAGGGGAAAAAAAAACAAACAAACACGTGAGTATGAAATGGCATGGGAGCTTCTGAATTTGAGAAAAATAATCCATTAGCAAGTTTACCATTTTCTTGCCAAATCAAGATGTGTAGTTAATCTGTATTTTCAAAAAATATTGGAAATATTAAAACAGTCTACTAAAACACTCAAAACAGTAACACTTCCTCTTTCATCTCCCAAATGATTCTTGCAGTAATTTGTTCATGTTTTTTAAAATTGTACTTCAAAACCTTAAGCAAATATTTATGAAAATCCACATAAAAAGTTGACTCTTAAGAGGTATTCTGTAAATAGCCATAAAATCTATCTTTAGCAACATCTCTCTTCCACTGTATTCTTCTCTTCCCCTGCTTTGACTACCTTGCACAATTTGCCATCAACTAAGTTAGGAAGGACATGAACACATTAACTGAAATGTCAGTTTCAGGTCCATCATCTTGTCCTGCTCTGGCCAGCCTTTTCCATGGAACATTCTTGCATGATAATACAAAGTACTTTCGAGCCTTCCTATTTCAAGGACTATTAGCAGCACTTTACATATAGCAATCTTTCCACACGCTAAATTTTCCATTATATTTACATGATTCTTTCACTAGAAACAAGGGAAAGCGAAACAAGGAAACTCTGCTTGTCTACACTTAAAATGCTACAAGCAGCACAGCTGTGTTGCAGCCGTTGAATCACTTCATGTAGAGTCACTCATTATCTATGCTGACAAGAGGCTTCTCCCATCAGACTATAGATAATCCACCTCCCCAAGAGGCACTAACTAAATGAAGAGAATTATTTTGTCAATTTAACACTGTCTACAGAGAGGTAGGTTGACTTAACTACACTTCAAGGGTATGGATTTTTCACACCCCTAATCAGCATAGATAAATGGACAACTTTTTACTGTAGACAAGGTCTTAGACAAAAAATTGGTGGGACACTCAAGGACATGTGTAGTATCAGACATTATCTTTACTTTTTTTTTAAATAAATCTTCCTTTATTTTTAAACTGACTGTTCCTTTAAAAGGCAACTTGCTCTTAGAACTTCCAAAAATCCAATTACCATTTAAACCTTATATCAATCATGTACCTACACCAATTAGGGATGTTAGTGAGCAGTCAACTACCTGATAAAGATAAGCTCTATCAGAGGCAGCCAAGGAGCCCCTGTTTACAGCAGCTAAGGTTCGCCACCATCAACAGGGACTGCTGGACTTGGCACAAGCCAGGACCAAGCTGTCTTGGCTCACACTGGTCTGGGACACTGCTCCTCTGCATTTTAACTGAAGTAAGAGTCCAGAGGCTCTTACTACATTTAAAATGTAGAGCCACACCACAGGTGTAATTGTAGCACAATTACAATGTGCTAGTACAAACTCTATGTGTTCAAGCATCTCAAGTATTCTGGAAGTATCCTAGAATCTAGAGATATTTGTTCTTGAGAAAAGTTGGTAGCAATTATAAAGATACTTTCTGCATGTGACAAAGTATATCTGGCATGAAACATCTTTTACAAAAATAAAAATTGATGACAATCTGACTGCTAGATAGGGAAAGTCAGAAGTCCGCTAACTCTTGCCTTACTCCCTTATTAATATTTATATAACTATTCAATTATTTGCATTAGGGAGAACAAAATACATCCAATTATATATAAAAACTAATAGCAAATATTTATTTATGTTGTAGTTAAGCACGTAGAATGACAGATTTATAGTTGTCCATGCAACCTTAAATCTGCCCCTTTTGCCTTCAACCTGTGCACTGTCCTGTGTAAAGAACAGTATGCATATGCAATCTTATAATAAAAACATTATCCTAATTTATATGTATAAAGTGGATGAACCAATACTCATGAGAAAATGTTATTTACTTTGAGTGTTTGGTTATGCAATACAAACATTAAACTTTTTGGTAAGTCATTTCTCAATTTTCTTTAAAAAAGGAAAAGGTACAAATTCTATTATGTAAACCAAGTAGCACACTTACATAATCCTTAAATCCCAATCCAGAACAATGACAGAATACATTACAATGTTACAAACTGAACAGTTTAAAGCACAAATGCTTCTTAAGATGTGTGAATACCTATTTCCCCACAGACTTTTGCAGTCTCTTTAAAAATAATTTATTTCACCATTAAACTATGCTAACAGTTTTACTTTGTCTTATAAGCAATTATTGAACATACAAAAACCTTACCTGGCTTTTAGCTGCAGCTCCAATTGAACGATTCTTGGGACCAAAAGCTACACACGATCTACGAGAAGAAATATTTCTGAACTAATTTAAATTTAGAAATAAAATATTTCTAACAAGCAGTCAGAGATTTTAAAAAAACTATTTAAAGATTAAGCCTATCACTACATAAATCAAGCCTATCACTACATAAATCCAATATTTTAATGTAGAACATACTCTGCCATTATGGCTCTAGAACCGTGGTCACCAACAGGTCGATCACTATCGACTAGTTGATTGCAAGGCCTCCTGTCCGCCCCGCCCCCATTTTCCTCCCACCCCCGAGAAGCCCCACTACCTACCTCAAGTGAAAATGGAGGTAGTGTCAGCTTCCCGGGGGTAGACAGAAGTCCCGCAGCTTAGCGCTACTTCTGGCGATTCCGGGAGTGCGCTAGCTGCTCTGCCGGGTGTACTGTGGGAGGGAGCATTGGCTCCCTGCACCGCACAGGAGCAGTGAGTCAGCCCCGGGGTTTCCCGGTGCGCGGGGGGGAGGGTCAGCCCTGGGGGAGGCATGCGCGGGGGGCTGGCTTCCCTGCACTGGAGTGGGAGTCGGCCCGGAGAAGGTACATGGGGGGCTTCCCAGCGCCGCGGGGGGTTGGCCCTGGGGCAGGCACGTGCTGGTTTCCCTTGGGGGGTAATCCTGGGAGAAGGCAGATGCAGGGGACTCTGTCTCCACTGGCACCCCACTCCCTGCTCCCCAGACCCCACTCCCCAGTCACAGAACTCTGTCCCCACTCTCCTATCCCCAGCTACAGAATGCTGTCACTATTCCCATCCCCACCTCCCCAAACTCTGTCCCCACTGGCACCGTGTCCCCAGCTGCAGAACCCTGTCCTCTGCCCTCCCAGCACCCTGTTCCCTCTTCCCTGCCCCCAGCCGCAGAACTCTGTCCCCAGAAAATGTATAATTATAAATGCTTCATTTTAGATTTAAATAGCATGAGTAAAAACCAGACCATTTATTTCATAACTATAAACACGTGATTTTAATTTTATATATCGCATAATTTAAAAATAAACTGTATCAGAGGGTGTAAGTAAGGGTTGGGGATAGCAAGTGATGGACAGGAGGAGAATAGAGAGGGCAGGGCTTCAAGGAAGGGGTGAGGCGGTAGATCTTCGCCTGTTCTGAGATTTAAAAAGTGAATTGGGTGTAAAAAGGTTGGAGACCACTGCTCTAGAACAATGGTTCTCCAGACTTTTTGGCCTGTGTCCCACCCCATTCAACACAAATCTTTCCATGGACCACCAGCCAACCACCCATAATGATGGAATGTCCTTGCTTATTTCTAAATATGCTGAATTAGGGATGTAAGCGACTAGTCAAGTAGTCACTACTCAACTAGATGCTTCCCTCTCCCCTGAAGCCTCTGTATCAGATGCAGCAAGGCGGGAGCAGAAGACAGTACTGGAGGGAGCCGGCTCAAAAGCCAGTTCCCCCCACCACCGTCTCTGTAGAGGCCGGGGGAAGAGGCACAGTGGGGGAACCCGGCACGAGATGGGACTGAGCAGTCTGGGCTCGCACCAGGTCCCAGACGCTGCACCTCTGCTTTTTAAATGTAGTGCGAGTCTGGCAGTTCTTACTACGTTTAAAAAGCAGAGTCACAGTGAACCCCCTTATCAACTAATCGAATAATCGATGGAAATTCCACCAACTACTTGTTTAAACTTACTAACCTCTATTTAACACCCTTACCTTGAAAACTAAATTATTCATATTAGCTTACCAGAGCTACTAACATAAGAGTGTATATAACTGGTAAGAAAGAAAATATTAAATAAATCAAAATAATTCAATAGATTAAATACTTCATCATGTTAGTTTACCAAACTTAATATTATTAAAACTATGTCCAAGACAAAAGGTTTCAATATTGTCTTTAGTTAGCAGGGGTGAGGAATCCATTTTGGGTCAGAAGCAATCGCTCTATTGGGGGAGGAGGTGGGAAAAATCAGTCGGGGGTCACACAAGAGAGGCAAAAAACCCCAATCCTCACTGATGTGGCCCCCAACCGACACCTCATTCTCCTAGCACTCTAGCCCTAGGGTGTGCTAGGAGAGGGGAGGGGGAGGGAGGACTGAGGCACAGAGCTTCCCATGGGCCAGATTAACTTTTTTGAAGTTCTGGGGTTGTTAGATTTTGTGAGCCCCCTGCCCAGGCTTTGGGGTGAGGTCAAAAATGAAGGGCTCAGTGTGCAGAAGGGGGCTGCCAGGGAGTGGGATAGGGAGGGGGCTGTATGAAGGTGTGAGGTCTGGCCGGGAGGGAGGGTGCCGGAGCAGGCTGAGGGTGAGGTGTCTGGAATGAAGGAAGGGTGCAGCAGTGGACATGGGGTGGGGATGCCTGCCAGGAATGTGAGTGCAAGAAGGGAGGATAAAGGAGTGGGCTGGGGTGTAAGGTCTCAGAAGGAGTAGGTGGGATGCATGAGGGAGATGGCAGTGCAGAATCTGGGAATAAGAGAGGATGGGAGGTGCTCACCTGACTTCGTGCCCCCCGGTACTCCCTTTGGCTGTGACTCGAGCCAATGGAAGAGCAGCGGGAGAAGCCTCCAAGCAGCACATCTGTGCACTGCTATTTCTCCAGTCAGGTAAAGGGGGAGCAGCAGCGCATGTAGCTGCTTGCTCCCCAGTAAGGCTGGAGCACCAGTGAGGACTCCCTAATCCAGGAGGTGTTAAGGGGCTGAGCCTCAATCCACAGCCCACCTGCAAGGCAGTTTGGATCACAAGTGGTCCATGGACTTCAGTTTGAAAACCACCGCGCTAGAACAATATCTGAAGAGCTTAACACTCATTATGGAGCAATTTTCTAACAAACAGTGAATTTATGAGCAGTGAAACCTGCTAGTAGTCATTCCCTAATTTAGTCCATTAAAATTTGTGGACACTCATTATGATAGAAGAGCAAACTACTCAGTTATATACTTTAAGTTTCATAAGAAAAACATTTGTCCAGTCTTAATTTTAAGATGTAAACATGTTTACATTCTTCACCAAGACAATTCACAATTTAAAACTATTTCTAATCACTTCTGAAAGTTTACTGGCAAAGTAATTTACACAGGTGGATAGTAGATGGTTGTTCACTGCAAGATTAATTTACAGTTGAGAGCTAATTTTTTATCCATTAAAGCAGGTGATCATAGATACCCAATTTCACTATCATATTTGTCAATATAAAAGTTATACTAAGGACAAAAAATCATTTTATAGTTAAAATTAGCCAACTATTTATTACTTCCCATTTTTCCAAATTTCAAGTTAACTCTGCAGCTCCAACAAGCAGCAAGACTGGATAAAATAAGCACAAGACAAAAAGTGCACAAACTCCAAAGTATAGTAAAACTCCAATAGTCCGGCATCCAGTTGTCTGGCACTCCTGATAGTCCGGCATCAACTGGAACCCGGAACCGCTCAGGTCAGCCGTTCTCACGGCCAGGCCGCTGTGAGCCGCACACACGCTCATAGTCCACGCCATTCCACTCATGGTCCCCAGCGCACTCATCGTCCCCAGCGCACTCATCGTCCAGCCTGCAAGTACTAGCAGCCGACTGCTGAGCACAAGCAGCTGCTTCGGGACCCAGACATAAGGTTGGGGGAGAAGGGGGATTGGATGACAGCAGGGAGAGGAGGTGTTTGGTTCTGGGGAAAGGAAGGGGAGGGGAAGGGGACTGGGTCGCACGTGGCGTCCCGGCCAGCTCATTGAAAATCCGGCCACTCAGCGCACATGCCCCAGCACCTGGAGAGAGACGCACAGCCATACTAGCGGCTCTGGGACCCGAGCATAAGGTGGGGGGTGGGGGGGAGAGCGGGATTGGGTTGGGAGTATGCCCCTTTATAAGTACCTCCTGGTACTCCAGCATATCCCATAATCCAGCACCATCTAGGTCCCGAAGGTGCCGGATTATCGGAAGTCTACTGTAATCATTAAGATTTAGATGACGGAAAGCCAAATAAATACACTTTATGGAAAATAATTTTATATACTGCTTTGTGATGCCTTCCATTCTTTAAGAGATAAAAGAAGTCCATCTTTTTTAAAGAGTTAAGAGTTACATACTTCTGGTCAAACTTCCTTACCTGAAGTATTTTCACACTCATCTTAAAGTTTAATAGCCCTTACAAAAACAGATTACCCACATGGTTCCATTAGGCCAAATTGTCTACAATGTTCCTTGCTGACAAAATGATTATTTCAACCGTTTTTTACTACTTAAACATATCTTAATAGAACATGTTTACATTCTTCACCAAGACAATTCACAATTTAAAACTATTTCTAATCACTTCTGAAAGTTTACTGGCAAAGTAATTTACACAGGTGGATAGTAGATGGTTGTTCACTGCAAGATTAATTTACAGTTGAGAGCTAATTTTTTATCCATTAAAGCAGGTGATCATAGATACCCAATTTCACTATCATATTTGTCAATATAAAAGTTATACTAAGGACAAAAAATCATTTTATAGTTAAAATTAGCCAACTATTTATTACTTCCCATTTTTCCAAATTTCAAGTTAACTCTGCAGCTCCAACAAGCAGCAAGACTGGATAAAATAAGCACAAGACAAAAAGTGCACAAACTCCAAAGTATAGTAAAACTCCAATAGTCCGGCATCCAGTTGTCTGGCACTCCTGATAGTCCGGCATCAACTGGAACCCGGAACCGCTCAGGTCAGCCGTTCTCACGGCCAGGCCGCTGTGAGCCGCACACACGCTCATAGTCCACGCCATTCCACTCATGGTCCCCAGCGCACTCATCGTCCCCAGCGCACTCATCGTCCAGCCTGCAAGTACTAGCAGCCGACTGCTGAGCACAAGCAGCTGCTTCGGGACCCAGACATAAGGTTGGGGGAGAAGGGGGATTGGATGACAGCAGGGAGAGGAGGTGTTTGGTTCTGGGGAAAGGAAGGGGAGGGGAAGGGGACTGGGTCGCACGTGGCGTCCCGGCCAGCTCATTGAAAATCCGGCCACTCAGCGCACATGCCCCAGCACCTGGAGAGAGACGCACAGCCATACTAGCGG